GTGTGGGCCCTGCGCGGTGTGGCTGTGTGGGCCCTGCGCGGTCGGGCCCTGGGCGGCAATTTTAAAATATACTTACACTTATTTTGTCCCTGGAGTCGGAGGTGTGCAGGGCTGGCTGTAGTGTCCGCTGTGCTGGCCTGCCTGGAGTGACCGCTGTCCTGGGCAGTGCAGGGGCGCTCCGCAGAGCTGCTGTCCCCCGTGGGAAGGAAAATGAGCAGCAGTGGGTGTGAGAATTGCGCACACCTTGGCGTTGAGAAGCCAGGGGCGCAGGAATTTCTTCTGCCTTCGTTCCTCACCTCCCATGGCCTTGGGTTCCATGATTTGCTCTTGCACGAGAAAGAGGGAGCCTCTCTGCGCGTGAAGGCAGGGAACTCTGGTCTTGTTGTCGCCCCCGACACTGTGTGTTTGAGAGGAGATGCTCTCCTTGTCTCAGGCTGAATTTTTAAATTGTCTGGTTCTGAATCTCCTTGTGATGTTTTATTTTCTGCTGCAGTTTAAGGGTGCAAGGTTCACGTGAGCCTAAAGATGGCATGATCTTCTGTTTGTGGTCCTGCTACTTTTATATTTTGGGGTTAGAAAGAATCAGCATTGAGTGCTTTTGAAACCACAATAAAAGTCCAGTGTACACAGTAACTTGTAAAACCTCCAATTCACATAACAGATTAAATTTTCAGGTATGCGCAGTGCCATGTTCTGTAATTCAGAACACGGTAACAAAACTTCCAGTGATGTTGCGGCAGTATGACATTGTAAAGAAGCCTTGTGAATACATCCCGTTTAATCCATACATTTCTGTTAATCCAGTTGAAATATTGCTTTTGATATTGAGACTGTTTTGCTGACAAATACTACTCGGTAACTCTGCATGCAGGTCACAAATGTCTGTTGTCAAATCTGTACTTATTCGTTCTACATCCCAGTACATTAGTCATTACAGAGACTAGTGAGCAGGAAGGGCCGCTTCAAATTACAATTAGTGGGAACTTGAATGCGATTTTCTGACAATGTCTACTTGCAGTCCTTTCACAAAGTTCACAATTCTTTTGCTTAATTTGAAATTT